GCGGGACGATCAAAAGGTGGACCTGTCGCAGCTGCGGGTGGCCAAGGTGACCGGCGGGGCCGCCTCCAAGCTCTCCAAGATGTAAGTGGGCCCGGGAGGCCGCGGAGGAGCCCGGCCGGGCCGGGGGCTGCAGAGGGGCTGTCAGCCGGTGGCTGCCGTGAACCCGAGCGCGGGGGCGCGGGGCTGTGGGAGCGGGACGCGTTTGGAGGCTGGAAAATCGATTGGTGCTCCTCGGGGATGTTGAGCTGAGCGGTGCCGGGAGTTGCCGGCGTTTCCCTGCCGCGTGGGGCGGTGCAGGTTGTAGCGCGTACACACCTGCGTGCGGGGCTGTCACGCTGTGGGACCTGCCTGTTGGTGCGTTCTGAGCCGAACTTTCCCTCCTGCAGCCGCGTGGTGCGCAAATCCATCGCCAGAGTCCTGACTGTGATCAACCAGACCCAGAAGGAGAACTTGAGGAAGTTCTATAAGGTAAGACTTGAGTATCTTTCACAGGGGCCTTTTTTTCTCTTGCTATTTTCAAATACACAGTTTGTGGGAAAGAAATAACTTTGTAGATTGTCACTTAGGGGCTTAAAATTTAAATTAAAAAAATACTTGTTTATGGTCAGTTTAAAAGTTCTGTAGTCATGGTTCCTTTTTAAATAGTGCAAAACTACCCTGAATTCTGTAAACTCTGTGGATCTGGTTTTGCCAGGAGAGTCTTCTGGGCAGCCTGGCTTCTCTGAGGTGTAGTGCACTGCCTGGAAGATGCATTTTCCAGAAACATAGATACCCTCTTGCCTCAGTTTAAGATGTGACCAAGGAATTCTTTATGTCAAAAAGTTTCCATAATTTTTTACAGTGTTACTTTTTAGGGTTTTAAGTATATAGAATAGGGGGGGGAAAATGTAGTGTTGAATAACTGGGACTTGTAAGGTTACTTAAACCTGAGTCAAAGCTTGTGTAGCTGGAACAGAAGTTGGAACTGGCTCAGACTTCTCAACGGACAGAAGTTCTCTTAAACTTTCAGACTGAATGCTGGTCCAAATAAAAAGAAGCTGAAAGCACTGCTGCTGGTGTCCTTGCAGCAGCTCAGCTCTCTCTGAGCTCCTGCACCTGATTGCTGCTTCACAGCCTCTCAACTTGTGTGTTTTTTGTCAACAGGGCAAAAAGTACAAGCCCCTGGACCTGCGGCCGAAGAAGACCCGTGCCATGCGGCGCCGGCTGAACAAGCATGAGGAGAACCTGAAGACCAAGAAACAGCAGCGAAAAGAACGTTTGTACCCTGCCCGGAAATACGCCCTCAAGGCATAAACCTGCCGGGTACCCAGGGGCCCTCCTGGTGCTGGCTGAGTATGTCTCATTAAATGGAATCCTGTTTGGAAGCTGGCACTGGTGGTTTTTTCAGTAGTGGTGGGATAAGAGTTGTCAGCTTTATGAAGAGGGATTGGAGGATTTTTGTTGGAACTGTTACTGCTAATGAAAATAGTAACAGAACGTGCAGTTCAGGATTATTTTTCTCCTTGAAGGACAGGCAGATGAGCACAGATCTGTGAGGCTTCTTCAGCTTCACACATGGAAAGTGTTTAACTTGAGATTAGTTTGAAAAGGAAATTTTTGCAGGGGTGTTTACAGTGAGTTGGTGTTCATCACTTCAGTAGCTGAAGAATAAATGTTTAAGGCTTTTGTTTAGTGCTAGGGCTTGAAGTGTTACAGAGGTGAACTCCCTTGCTGGGCATGGCCAGGGGGCTGCTGCAGCCCCCTCCCCAGGGAACCCTCAGTGTCAGGAACCTGGATGCCACCAGCTTCCACCAGATGGGTTTCTGCTTGTGGCTGATTTAATCTTGGCAAACAGCTTCTGGAAGTACCAGGGTGCTCTTGTGAAGGGGGAGGCTCCACCCCACATCTGCCAGCAAAGGTGCCTTTGGGATACAGGGGTGGGGTCTGTGAGTGCCCCTGCTGTGGAGTCCACGAGCTGACACTGTTTGCCCTGGGAGTTGGGAGTGTAAAGAGGACTTGGCTTCTTGTGTGTGCAGGTGTTTCTTCTGGATGAGTACAGGCCTTCCAGACAGTTGTTAGCAGACAGCATTGCCTGCTGCAGGGCAGGATGGGGAAAGCCCAGTGCCTGTTGGAGTGTTTGGAAAACAGAGCAGGTACGATGGTTTCAGACCAAGTGTTCCTTTTGTGTGTGTGCAGACTGAGAGGTGAAATGAAACCAGGGAACCAGACCAGAGAAGAGCTGGTTGAGCCAGAAGGTTGATAACTAAAGTTTCAAGGCACTCCCTGCTCTCAGAGCTCCACACTTCCAGCTGTAATGCACAGAGCTGGATAAATGTGTGACTCTCTGTTCCCCAGGGAATTCTTTGGAACTCAGAGATGGAGTTCCAATTCCAAAGACCTTTTTTGGTTCTGATGGAGGAGTTAGGCAGTGCTGCTCAGGCATTAATGATGCAGCAGTCATGGTTTGTGTTAGTGAAGCTAATACATGCTAACACAAAAAATTCTACCCATTAGGGAGTCCTTAGATTGGATCCAGATTCTGTACAGGAAAAGGATGTTAACTCTGCTTGCTGAACTTAGCATAGATCTGAAGGATTTTTAAGCCTCAAACAAGTCTTAGCTGGAGAGAGGTCTTGTTACGTGCAGTGGAGTGAATTTCCGATATTTTGGGCTGTTGGGAGGGATAGCTTTACCATGATGCTAATGCTGGCTGTGTGATGGCTTTGTGAGGAGCTTAGTGTGGGCCTGAGCTCGATGGGTTTGGCAGCAAAGGGCCCAGCCTGGCAGAGCTCTGGGCACAGGCCCCTGGGGGCCCAGGCTGCCAGAGGGGGGGTTGTGTGGGAACTGGCTGCACTAGCTGATGTCCCTGTCACCGAAGAGGCAGGCAGGGTGACATGCTTTGCATTGGAGTTTCTGAACATCCTGCAGTGGGCAGCAGCAAGACTGCCCATGGAAAGGTGTGTGCTGTTCCCCCAGCACATGTGGTGTGGCCTCCCTCCCCACGGCAGAAGGAGCACAGTGCTGCAGGGATCCCAGGTCCACACGCTCCTGTCCCAGGAGCCTGATGGAGGGAAGGGCTGGCCCTGTGCTGGGAGCTGGGCAGGCTGGGGCGGGCTGCTGCTGTCAGGTCATGCCTGGCTGCCTTTGGGCTGCTCTTCAGGAGAGGCATTGTGTGCCCTGTGCTCCTCGGGCTCTTTGTCTGGGAGCCTGGTGGCTCTTGCCAGCATTCCTGACATGGAAAAGCAAACATGGGTAACGTTTCCTGATGTAAATTACTGGCTTTGACTGTGTGACCCAGGAGCCAGTCAGCAGGGACCAGGAACTGTGGGGTGGTTTGGAAATTAAGATGGGAAGGAGGTGGATGCACTGCAGAGCCTCTGATGGCAGCATCAGAGTGTGCTTGAGGGGACACTGCTGTCACCATCTGCCCCCAGCCAGGAGAGCAGCAGGACTGCCTGGAGAGGGTCTTGTCTTACAGGTCCTATTGTGGTTCAGGTCACAAGAAGCCACTACTAGTCAGTAACAAGAGGAGAAAAAAAATGAAAAAACCCTAAGTACCAGACACTGAACATCCAAGAAGTCCCAGGTTTGGACAGCATGGACAGCAGCATGGCCCAGGGAAGACTTAATGTGTGGCCACTGCAGGGACAAAATGAACAGCAGCTGCTGACACGGGCCTTGGGTTTAGCACCAGTGTCTGCAGAGCAACAGGGCCTCCAAGGCTCAAAATGTTTATTTTCTCCTTGTAACTGAAGCTGTCCCTCAGCATTAGCTTCCCGGGGAAAGCTGCTCTTCAGCAAATAAACAATTTCCAGGGCAGGGGTGAGGAAGGAGGAGCAGCCACTGTGGCCCAGGGCCGATATCCCCACACAGGGAGCCCTGGCTGTCCTGGGGAGCAGTCACAGCACCAGATGTTTCTCTCCCTGGAGCAGGAGGCACTGGCCCAGTGCTGATGGTGTCTTTGGGATGTGGTAGGACCTACTCCTGGGCCTGATTCTGCAGCTTGGGTGGGGCAGGGGGTCTGGGACAAGGGAGGCTGCAGGGAGGGCAGAGGCAGATGCAGGTCGTGTGAGGTCTGGGTGGGAAAGCCCAGCTTCTCACCTCCCTTAGCCAGAGTTTGCTGTGATGGACACAAACCCAACTCTTCCAACGCTCCTGGCATTGCTCCTGTCACATCCCTGCTCCTGGGACCAACCACCTTGGGCACGTCCAGGTGCCCTTGGCCACAGCATGTCACCCACTCCTCGTGCCAGGGGAGAGGTGGCCCCGCTTGGCTGCGTGTGAGCGGCTTCTGGTGCATCAGGGTAACAAGCCCCGTCTTGTGCCTGGCCTGGCAGGGAGATGCCACGTCCCACCGGCCACGCGATGACCGGGGTGTGCCCAGGGCAGCCCCTGCTCCCTGCCCTGAATGCCTGCTCTGTTGGGTGGGCAGGGAGAGGATTGTCCTCCCACCCCCAGTCCTGCTCTCCTGTGAATACGGGCAGTGTCTGGACACAGGCACTGTCCCCGGGGCCCTGCTCCCCCCATCCTGGGGGCTCCTGAACAAAGGTGGCCCTTGGTAGGGGTGTCTGTGCTGGGGCTGCTGGCTCCTTGCCAGCCTGGTCACCCACGGGGTGATGGAGGAGGCTGCAGGGCCGAGCAGAGCCCAGCCAGGAGCAGCCCGTGGGCAGCCTGCTCCTTCCCCGGGCTGCGCTGCGGGGCACTGCCGGGTGCACCCACCACCCTGAGGGGCTGCTGTGCCGGGGGCTGGGGTGGTTTGGAGCCAGCTGTGGGGATCCTGAGATGGAATTTCTTTTCCCACTGGTGTGTGAGTCAGAGGCCTGTCCACGTCACCCTGCAGGGCTCCAAAGACTGACCAGGGACCCCACAGCACCAGCGTGCCCTCACCAAACACCTTGCAGGGTGGGCAGCCGAGGGGGCGGGCACACAGCATGAGGGCTCTGGTGCTGGAACCGAGCAGCAGGTCCATGCTGGGCCGTGCCTTCTGTACCTGCCCCAGCCCAGAGACAGGTACATGAAGGGATGTGGAAGCCCCCAAGTCCTGAGGCTGTGTTCATGCCTTGGCTTCCCCACCATGCCGTTTCTGGCAGCCTCCTGCAGCCCTGGGGTGCTGGGAAGGTGCGTGCAGAACCGGCAGCGCCTGCTGCTCTCCCGACCAGCGTTGTTTGGGTTGGTCGACACTCGCATCCTGAGCCCCCGCTGCGCTTCCAGCTGCAGCTTCATCACGGTTGCAAGAGAAACAGCTCCCTGCTGCCAGCACAGCCCTGCCATGGGGAAGCACTTGAGCAGGTTTGATGCTGGGCACCCACACCCCTTCTGGGGAAGCTCTGCCAGCCGTGTCCTCTCCACCTCCCTGCTGGCCCTGGGTGCAATTTGCTGGTGGGTCTCAGCAGGGGTGCCTGTCCTGGCTCAGTGCTGCCCTGTGAGCCACAGCCCGGGGATGGGGAGGGCAGGGATGCCCCAGCAGAGCATGTGAGCAGAGCAGTGCCAGCACCATCCTGCTGCACTGCTGCTGTGCCAGGGAGCCATGGCACATCCCCAAGGAGTGGGAAATGCCTTCCCTCCCGTGCAGCAGCACTGCCAGGGCTGTGCCCAGGCCTGCCGGCAGCAGGGAATGTGCAGAGGAAAGGGCAGGGCAATAAAAATAGATCCCTGTGAGTCCTGGTGCTGCTGGCTCTGGCTTTGAAGCATGTTTGCAATGTGGGCACAGCCCGAGAACTCCCTCCCACCTGCTGCCAGACACACATCCCCTCATTCCCATGTCAGTGGCCCCCGGACAGACATAAGAGTGGAGGGAAAGGCCCTGCATCCCCTTTGGATGCTCCTGACTTGGCTGGCCCCAGCCCTGCAGCCCCACGCAGGTCACTGCTGGTTCTCCCTGGCCAGGGAAGAGCTCTGTGGCCATGAGCAAGGGACAGTGCATCTCGTGCCCTGGGGATGGACACAGGACCCCCTGGTGGGAGCAAACTGCAGATGGGGGTGGCTCAGCTGCACCAGCTGAGGGTCAGAGCACAGAGAGGAAGCAGCCAGGGCAGGGCAGAGTTAGGGCCTCACTGCCTGGCTTCACCCAGGGGCTGGCTGCGTCCACGGAGGGTGTTTTTGAAGGGAGGGCTGTGGCACCAGCCACCCACTCAGATGGCCTCAGTGCCCTTCCCTGGGTGCTGTGTTCCTGTCACGGGGGCCTCAGGCACTGCAGCCCCTCAGCATCCCTGCCTCAAGCTTCATTTGCTGCCTGCTGCTGAACTGAGAGATTTTAATCTTTTAATCACGTTACGAGCCGAGGTGGTGCTGGCCACGCACAGGAGGAATGTCTGGAAGTCAGCAGCTCCCAGCGCGGCGGGAGCTCATCCTGCCCCCACCTGCATGTCCTCACTGTGTCCTGCCT